GTGGGGCCCATGTAACGTCTCCCACCCCCGCTCCCTGAAGCTGCTCAGCACCTGGCCCACCAGCCCTGGGGTTTAGCGAAGGCCTGGAGTCCAGGAGCTTCTGGAAGCAAAGACACCTCGGCCACAGCCTCCACTCCCCGAGTCAGTCAGGAGAGCACATCGGAAAGGGCTGGGGTGCCCCCGGTCAGGGTCCACAAGCAGAAAGGGCCCCCAAGGATGGGGCTGGAGGGCCCAGGGCCCCGGAGCACTGATCCTTCAGCCCTGTAGGTCTCACCAGTGGCTGGGCTGCAGGAATAGCCTTCACAGAGCTGTGGCCGTGAGGCCAGCTCAGCGGGGCCAGGCCAGCGCAGCAGGGAAGCGGGGCCGTGGCTGGTGCTTGTCTCCTGTGAACAGGGCTGCCCCTCACTATACACCAGGCCCGGGGTTCTTGGGGGAAATGAGCAAAGAGCGTGGTGGAGGCGCCCGAGGCCACGGCTCACCCCACCCGGATCCCAAGGCGTCGCCACCCGCGCACCTGCTGACGAGCATCGCCAGGACGATGGGGAACCACCCGAACTTCAGGATCTTCACGACGGGCGGGTTCTGCTTGGCGATGAGGATGCACAGGGGGGTCAGGGCTGTGAAGCCGACGCAGACCAGCGGCGTCAGATACCGACTGCCTGGGGAGAAGAGAGAGGGGCGCGTGGGCCGTGGGGCTGGAGCTCAGGGTGGGGCCCAGGCTGTGGCCTGGATGGCGGAGGTGACAGGTGCGTGGGGACTCAGGGCCCCAGAGGCCCGAGGAGCAGCTCCTGTCCCCACCAGTCTGGATGAACCGTCCCCTGCACCTCCTGTCATGCGGCTGAGGGGCTCCTGTCCACCTCAATCCCCGCCGCACCTGCCTTTGCTTTGCTGACGCCCCTGCGGCTCTCCCGACACGTGCCCTCCTCGGCCTGCTCGCAGCCCGGCCTCGCTATTCGTGGCTCCGTTTACGGGGTCGTGACCGTGGCCGGTGCCGTGCTAGGCACTTCGTGTACCCAACGCTCCCCTCACCGACCCGCTCGGACGGCCTGGGAGGAGGTAGCCGAGCAGCACACGCTCGTGGGCAGCAATGCTGGCTCTGCTCTTGCTGAGGCCACTCCAGGGGGGGACCCCTCGGCACCCACGTTCTCACAGGGACTCGTGTCCCTGTGTCACCTGCTCCAGGCGGCAGGAGCCACGAGGACGGACCTCGGCCTGGATCAGCCTCGGGAACCTGGGCCCCTGCTGGAGCCCAACGCACGGGGCATGTGTGGCCGCTCACCCACCCGCCTCTTACCCGCACACACGGTGACTCACCAGCCTTGTGGAGAAGCGCCCGCCAACCCCGGCCACGCCCAGAGCAGAGGCCCCCACCCAGCACGCGGGCCTGGCCTGGGGCCCCTACCCTTTTCCCCAGGAAACAGCTGTGGCCATCCTTGTGCCCGGAGCGTCCTGGGCAAGAGGTGGGCCCAGGGCCCCGGCAGGTATCCGCTGGCCTGGACGCGGCAGCCGGGAGTGTCACCGCTCAGGGCCGTAGCCTCCCAGCCGCGGTGGCCGTCTCCCTGGTGATAGCATAGGCGCAGCGGCCGCAGGCTCGCCCTCGTCAGCGAGGACCCACCTGACTGCTGCCCAGCCGGGACCCCCAAGATAACCCAGTGTCTCACTGCAGGGATGGGTGACCCAACGGGACTTGACATCCAGGGTGTGTGTGGAGGCATGGGGCTGGGTGCAGACTCCATAACTAGTCCATGCACAAATCTTTGAAATTCAGAGTGTTTGTTTGAAGAATAAAATCAGGGCGTCTTACTGTTAGATCTTCACCTCCACTTCGTGAACTTCCAGCATCTTCCCAAACCATCCCTTCCTGTTGCTGCAGGCCTTTCCTGGATGGCTGGGGCTTGCGGAGCCACGCCACCCTCACTGGGAGCGTTTCCTGGGCCACTTCTGTTGCCCACATGTAAAAACCGGCAATTCCTTAAACCCCTGGGTCCACGGGCCCACCATGCCCCACGTTTAAGCTTCGTTGCTGTCCACTCCACCCACGGAAGCCGTGACTGCACTCGGAACTGACATCTGCTAGCTCCAGACAGGCGTGCAGCCATCCTGGGGTGGCCACACCAGGTGGGAGGCCACAGACGGGACACTCGGAGCGGGTGCTCAGCTGTGCAAACGCAGTGAGGGAGCCGCCGGCAAGGCGCTGCCGTGTGTACACAGCATCCAGGGTGTGAGCCAAGCTGTGTCCCCAGGCGGACCTGGGTGACAAAGGGGGGGTGGTGGCCACAAGGTCTTCTTCCCAGAATGTGTGCAAACGCCCCCTCGGCGGCTGATCACGTCACAGGCCACCTTCCGAGGAGCCTGGCTTCTGCCTCCTTGGCTGTGACACTCCTGCCTGGAGTCACCTCTCGGGCAGCTGGTGTGTGTCCGGCGTGAACTGTGCCCCCTGCGACGAGGTGCTGAAGCACCCAGACCGGCCTCTGTCAGAGGTGGGCACTGACAACCTGTACATCTGCTGCCCGGAGACGCCTGTCCCCGTGGTGCACTGGAAAAGCCGGTGGCACCTGGGGGGTGACCCCCATCTGCCCAGTGACCCCAGGCCTCGCCTATGAAAGGACAGACCCCAGCCTCGGGCCCTACCTCTGTGTTTGTGGAAGAAGCTGCTGACGAAAGCCAGGAGGGACAAGGTGATGAGGTCTCCCAGGCTGGCCGCGATGGGCGTCGCAATGTTGTCCGGGTTGACCCCGAGCTTTCGAGCGCCGATCACTACGCAGACCATCAACATCCCTGCGGGGGGAGGGGACAAGTGGCCGGTGAGCGGGTGGCAGGGCCACCCAGAAGCTCGCTGCACCCACGGAGCCGCCCGCTCTCGGGGTCCCTCCCCGCACCGGGGCGCGAGGCTTGGACTCTGCCCTGTGTCTCACGGGCTTGACGCCGTGGAGCAGCCCAAGCACCCTGATGACTCCCTGAACCGTCGGGGAGACACAGGCAGGTGGTGCCTGGGCTCCCAACCTTGGGACCTACAGGTGTGACACTCACAGCCCTCCTGGCAGGAAGATGGACCCCAAACTGCTCTGAGCGGCAGGAGCCCCGGCTGGGGCAGGGGCAACTGGCCCGTGAGTGGTTTTCAAGAGGCAGAGCCTTCGGGGAAGACGGCAGGGTGGGGTCTGGGACAGTGTGGGGCAGCAGTGCAGGTGGTCCCTGGAGGGAGGGAGGGAGGGAGGGAGTGAAGGGGAGGCACACAGAAGGCAGCACAGCACTGGGGGCCTGAGGGGCTGCCAGGGCCCAGCACGTGGCCGTGAGTGCAGGGCGACGTCCCTGCTGGACCTGAGAGGCCCTTCCTCGTGGCCACTACGCCTCCCAGGACCTGCTTCTGTTCTGACTCGGTTCTGAGGCCACTGTGACGTGCTTCCACCCCCCGTGCCACACTGCCTGGGACAAAATCCAACAGCATCTTGTGTGGCCTTTAAGAAGACGCTTCGCATCTTGGCCACTGCTGTTTTAACACTGGACTCAGCCTTCTTTAACTCTAAAAGTAATCACAGTTATCACGTTGGTACCATCCAATGCTGCTGGCCACAGTCTGTGCTATCTTGTGACCAGATCCCAGCAACTTTATTCTTTCGCAGTGTCATTTGTGAGTTGACACTGCCTGGCTGAGCCGGTGGTCTGGTGACAATCCCACAGGGACGCGTAGAGGACACCACCAGTTTGATATCACTTATTACAAACCACCGGCACCACCGCCCGGCTTTATGGGTCAGACAGGCCAAGGTCATGCTGTGACCCACCAGCCACGCCTCCTGAGTCCCCCTCATCTTGGGACAATCCCGGCTACGTCCTTGCCACTGAGGTGCACCCCATCTGAGGCCTCAGTCTTCTCATCTGTAAAACAGGAGCTAGGATGGCCCACGGGGACGGCCCCGCCTTCTGGAGACTTGGTGTCTCCTAGGCTCTGTTCTCTCAAAAGGTTCAGCCCTTCCTTGGCCCAGACGTGCAGGCATGCAGCAGGTCTGTGAATTTGCTCCTGGGCTTCCGCGCCCTGGCCCTGCCCCAACCTGGGTTCCTGCACGGGGATGCAGCTGTCTGGTAGGAACCACAGCCACCGAATAACCAGCTGCATCCTGCTGGGGGTCAGGCGAGTGAACAGTCGACTTTACAAGGCTACCCCTCTTCCTGGACCTGCGTGTGCTTTGCACAATACACACAGACACGGCTCAGAGAGAACCAGTGTGACCACTGTCCATTCAGAAAACCTGGGAGCTGGCTGGCGCCTGGGTTAAGTGTGGAAAGAACCACGGGCTCTGCACCCACACTACTTGCTTGTTGGTGGAGGAACGGACAGTACACAAGTGAACAAGCGTGTGAAGCAAACACAGCGTGACTGCGAGCGAGTCGGGAGGCTGCGAGGCCCGAGTCATGCGTGTGCTCGCGCACCGAGGGATCACCGTGAACTAGGATGAGCCCCGCAGCCTTGGGCCCCCAGCGTGTCCCGGGCTCTGGGACAGAAGCTGGCACATAGGAGTTTCAGGGAGTGCTGAGTGGTGAACAGATGGGCAGCCACTGGGCTCCCTGTTGATGCACGTGAGCTCCCCCCGGGCCTGAGGAAGCGTGGCAGGAGCAGGGTGGGGACAGCAGATGGTAGGAGAGGCCACGCAGGCCCCTCTCAGAGGAGCTGCCGTCGTGCAGGGAGCTGAGACATAAAGTAAGGGACAAGAGAGCTTCAGATATTCGTAAGTGCTCCAAAAGGAGCGAGAAGCGTGGTGGCCTCTGGCGGGAGAGGGGGCGCAGGACCTGCCTTGCCCCAGACCCCGCCCAGGCCCTCCCGGTGGCCAGTCGCAGACAGACGGGTCTCCGCCCCAGCAGAGGGCAGGGACCCCCTCGCCGCCCTCCAGGTCAAGGTGGGTGTGAAGACCCAGCAGCGCCCCGACCCGCGCAGGACCCCGAGAGCTGCTTACCCAGGGTGCAGGCCGCCAGGAAGGCGGTTATGACGCTGCTGGCGCACAGCACCTCCGCCTCCGCCGCGTCCAGCTCCTGCCCCGACGCCGCGCCCAGGAGCAGGGCCGCCACGGCAGCCAGGAGCCCCACGACAGCGGCCTGCACCTGTGGGCAGGAACCAGACGTGAGTCAGGTCTGCTGACCTCGCCCGAGCGCAACAGAGCCGACACCCCCTTCAGCCCGATCCCTGCGGAAACCGCTGCCCCGCCCCATCCTTCCCCGTCATCTTGTGTAGGGTCCTCGGTCAAGGGCCCCCCGTGTTTCCTCACAGCCCCTCTAACTGGTCTGGACAAAAGTGTTGTGATCTCCAGCAGCACACAGTGCCCCCGCCCCCCGGAAACGCCCAGGACCCCCGGGAGACACCAGAGCTGTCGGAGCTGAGGCCCCAGCACACACGCGAGGCCAGTCAGCCTCCGCAGACGAGAACACGCCCCAGCTCACACACGGAATTCCACTCAGGGTCCCAAGACTTTTCATGGTACCTGACAACTCATTTTAAATTTAACTTTCACAAAAATGAGCAGATGTGCAAGAACAGCCATTAACAACTTTGAGAGAGAAAATGGGAATTTTGGCATTTCCATTATGAATATGTATTTTAAAGCTATAGTATTAAAACTGGGTGGCTTGGTAGAGAAATAGACAAATAGGTCAGCAGGACAGAACGGGGTCCAGGAATTGAACCGTGAATATGTGAAAATTTTAAATTTAATGTATGAAAATATAATCATGAATATACGAAAGTTTACTATGATAAAGGTGGCATTTCAAATCAGGATGGAATACATAAGGTAAGAGAAACTGGATATTTGCTTGGAAAAATAAAATAGATTCTGACTTTACACCGTTCACACACATATACCTAAACATAAAAACATAAAGTGTGAAACGGATTAAAGTATTGAATAATGTGTTTCAGATTTTGGATTAGGGAAGGCCTCCTACTAAAGATGAAGCATATAAAATCTATAAAGAAAAATACAGGTAAGATTTACAAAGTCCAAGTATGGCTTCTGTGTGATAAAAGACACCACAAAACAAAGGCAGGGATAGACCTGGAGAAAATATTTCCGTCTTACATAACTAATAAAAGATTAGTATCCAGAATAATGAGTCCACTTCACCAAATCAACAATAACCATCATGATAATAAAAAGATAACGTGATAGAACAATGCATAAGGGATATGACAGGTAATCCACAGAAAGGAAATGCAAACGGGTAAGAAACACACAAAAGATGATCAAATCCCTAGTAATCAGGAAAATTTTAAATAAAATCCCCATTGGAAGGTTAGGATTAGGGTTATTTGTAGCCAGGGCTGGTCCTCCTCTATTAAAAAGTAAGTGCCGTTTGATTTTCTTGGCACTGGGGGCTCTGCTCATCGGGTAAATGGATGGATGGGGTTTACTTCTTACCTGTCGGATGAAGTAAGGTTAAAACTCAAAGGTCGACAGTACAAAGTACACACGGACAAACAGGCGGGACGGTGGTTGTCTTACACACTGATGGTGGTAAAACTGATGCAGGAATTCTGGGAGGAAATTTGTCTAAGTTATCCAAATACCTGACGATCTAGCATTTTCCCAGGGAAACGTGCACATGCGGACAAAGAAGCACATAATCACGATGGTGATTGGAGCTGCTCTGTACAGAGTGACGTCTGTTCGTTAAGTCACTATTAAGAGAAAAGTGCTATTTACGAAGTTACGCGTACAGTATAGTATGTTTTATGCATAGAAACATGGGAACTCGTGTGGTCTGTGTCTGTGGGCACATCCATGTGTCTGCAAACACAGAAAGGGTTTAGAAGAGTCCTTCCCATGCTGGTGAGCTTATGAGGAACTAATAATTGAAGTTTTGTTTTTTTTTTTTAATAAATTTATTTATTTTTTTATTTTTGGCTGAGTTGGGTCTTCGTTGCTGCGTGCTAGAGCACAGGCTCAGTAGTTGTGGCACACGGGCTTAGCTGCTCCGCGGCACGTGGGATCTTCCCGGACCAGGTCTCGAACCCGTGTCCCCTGCACTGGCAGGCAGATTCTTTAACCATTCTTGCCCCCAGGGAAGCCCCATTTCAATTATTAATACTAGTGCTGGTATTGCACCAAGAAATCAGATACTTTGTAATCCTTTCGGAAAGCATCTGGAGCCTTAAACTGTTCATACCTTGTGAACTTGTAGGAAGTTCTCTAAGAAACCTGCGCAAAAGGAAAACACTCTCACTGCGCACAACTTATCGAGTAGCAGCCTGTGACTGCAGGGGCCCCGCAGCGCGGCGGGTCTGTGAGCGGACGGGCTGAGCTCGCGAGGTCTGCACAGGCTCCGCAGAGCCAGCCCCCGGCTGCCCTTCCCTCTTATCCGTGAGGTCCTGGCTCACGTATCACTCTTGGGTACACTGTCGTGATAGAATATACTGAAGTTATTTAAAAAGTTTAAGTACGGAACTTACTGCACCCTTTATGCTTTGATGTTAAGCTTTTTAAAACATGGAGGAGACCAACTGCATCCACGCTGTGACAGGGCCACGTGCCAGGCCAGGGCCTGCCCACGGCAGGACCTAATCAACGCTGGTCGAGGAGGATCCGGTAGGAAAAGAAACGCAAAGCCAGCGACTGTTGCCAAGGTCCCTCTGCCGGGGCCTCACGAGAGCTTTAACCTCCCGGGGCTTCAGCCACAGGCTGTAGTCCCGGACCCTGTGAAGCACCTCGGTGGGCGAGGCAGACGTCTAAACACAAAACTGCGTCCAGGACGGCCTGACAGCACCCGCAAGGCCTGGAGAGGCAGCCAGTGCCAGGCTGCAGCCGGGTCTGAGGAGAGTCCCCACCGGGTGATGGGGAAGGGAAAGGACATCCCAGGAGGGGAGGGAGCCGGGCCCACCCCTAGACGAGGGGGCCGGCAAAGGAGCTCCAGGGGGAGGAGGCCCCATGAGCTCGAGGGTTAGAAAAGGCCAGGCAGGGGCCGTGCGAAGCGCACTGTAGCCCAGGTGCCTGGATGGGGAGGCCAGGGCAGCAGGGCTGGGTTCCAGGCGGCCCAGGGGAGGGTCCTCAGAGTGGCCGGACATAAGGGTGAGGGACACAGGCAGGCTGAGGGCTGTTGGGTTTCTAGCCGGGTCAGACAGGAGTGTCGCTCACTGGGCACGCGAATCCCACCCGACGAGCCACACAGCAGCCCATCTTACAGATGAGGCCCCTGAGCTGGGCCACCCCAGAGCGAGCTTCCAGCCCAAACCAGACGGAGCTGGGGACTTCAAAGAGGGGTGTGAGGAGGGCAGGCGACGGGGCCGGATCTGGGGACACTGCTCTGGAGATGCCCAGCGGAGAGGTGCAAATGGGCTCCGGAGCCCAGGTGAGAAGTCAAGGCCCCTCCTGAGTCTGTGTGTCCTGCTCAGGGCAGCCTGCTGGTCAGTGACGGTCTCGCCTGCACACCAGTGTGACCTGGGCCCAGTTCTCGGTGTGGCCACATCCTGCCCCGGCCAGAGGAGCCCAGGAGGCTCTGGATACAAACGCTTCCGTCCAGATCCAGGCTCAGCCCACTGCTGCCTCGGGCTTCCTGGCTCCCCGTGAGACCTCCCCGCCGCCGCCCCGCGACCCCACAGTTAGGAGGAGACACAAGTTTGCGATACTCATGAAGCATTTAAGGGACAAAGGCGAGGGTCACCTGGATGAGGGCGAGGTTACTGCTGATGACTCTGTGCTGCTCCCGGGGACCATCGATCTGCCCAGTGTTGGCCTAGGATGGAAAGAAGGGCAAAGGGTGAGTCGGACGGCAGCGCCGAAGCCAGGTCCACCCTTCTTGGAGAGGGTCTCAGGACAGGCCAGCAAATGCCCCCTCACTGCTGCCAGAGCCAACTGTCCTGCCAGCTTTCAAAACGGTGACTCGGGGCTGGAGAGGTGGGGACACAGGCCCAGCTCTTCCCCTCACAGGTGTGCGATCACACATACACGTGCACACGCGGGTACGCGTGTCACCGAGAACCTCAGCCGTTGACCATCCAGCCGGTCCATGAGGGGTGCCGGGCTCCCCCTACCCTGCCATCCCTCCTCCCCGCCCACGAGTCGCAGCTCACGTGACCAGCAGCCACTCGCCCACCTTGGCAAAGTGTCCTCTGCTTAAGAAACGTGTGTAAGTCCCTCTTCTCTTGGGATAAAAAGGCGAGATCGGAATTGCAGCTCCTCCTTTAGAAGGGGTAGCTGCTCCTAACGTCACAGCCTTTGCCAGCAGAATTCAGGATGCAGATAAGACGTTTCAAGGCAAATGTATTTTCTTGGCTCCTATTGCACTGAGTTCACTACGTTACTGAACTCTGAGGAAAACACATAATTCTCTTTTTTACTTTTTTTTTTTGGCTGCGCCGTGCGACTTGCAGGACCTTTGTTTCCTGACCAGGGATCGAACCCAGGCTCCCTGCAGTGGAAACGTGGAGTCCCGACCACTGCACGGCCCGGGAAGCCCCCAGAATTACTTTTCTTTGTACAAGTAAGGGGAGGCTTCTCGTCTTTGGGCGCCTGGGACACATCAGGTCACCACTGTGGAGCCCCAGTCGGCTCTGGCTTCATCCAGGTGGCCTGACACCTGCCTCGGGTGTCCTCCCGGGAACCAGGGCGCAGATGGAGCACAGCCGTGAGGGACCCACCGAGGCCACACCCGCTCTGCCCGCCCCCCGCCCCCCCCGGGCCCCCTGCGGCCCAGAGATGCCGGTGCCCGTGTGTTGGTTCCTGTGAGTCAACCAACTGCAACATATCAAGGTAGTCAGAGGGCTGGTGCTGTCCCACGACCCCCAGTACGAATCAGAAAGGGAGTCCTTCCTCAAGAAGCCTCATTTCCACTGGCTGGGAAGTGTGTAAAACACGTGCACAAGTCTAGAACCCGTACAACCCACGAAGCGGCATGGAGGTGCCTCCTGGCACCAGAGGCCTGAGACCAAGTCCAGGCTGAGCAGGAGAGGGAGCGGAGGAGAGGGTGCCTGGAGATCCCACAGGCACGAAGGTGGGGAGAGCCGGGGTGGGAGCAGCTGCGGGTGTCAGGGAATTAGGCCAGGGGATGGCAGCGGGGCTGACGGGCGCTGGATTCCCGTCCAGACACTGGGGAGCGTGGGTTTCGGATGAGTTATCCCCGTGGAGGCTGAAATCGGCCAGGATGGTGGCGGGAACTGGTGTGCAGATGAAGACCCTCAGAGGGTCCATTATCCAGGGCCGTGGGGGACGGAGCCGTGAAGGAGGGAAGGAACAGGGCCGGCCAGGAGGGTGAACCTCGGGCAGGGGCCCTCAGGCATGGGGGGTCAGGTCTCCATCAAGATACAGACACATTTCTTTCCCCTAGAACGACGGTCCTGGAGAGGTCAGGCTAGGAGCTAGAGGCACAAGGCCAGTCCTGGCACAGGCTGGGGCCTTTTAAGACTCCAAGGCAAAGGAGTGGGAAGCTGGAGCGTGTCTAGACCAACTCAGATTCATCTCAGCAGAAGCAGCCCGCAGGCCCTCCCTAAACGTGCATTTGGATCACATACACTCAAACATCTTCAGCCTCTCTTAATCTCACGAGCCCTTACAGCTGCATCAACACACCTCCCTGCTCTGCGGTTCTGGCTGCAGCTCGGCCACTCGGCCTCTCCTTCAGCGACAGGCCCAGGTGTGGGAACCACCCCTCCTCCCGTCCCTCAGGTGAGGATGACTTCCTGCCGCTACCCAGCCTGGGGAGCCTTGCCACCACAAGCTTGCCGGTGGCCCCCCCCCCCCTTTTTTCTGTTCAGCTCCGGTCCCTGCACCTCCTGTTTGCTGCCAGGTCCTGACTTGCCCAGCGAGGTAGAGCTTCACCAGGTCATCTGGCCCGTTCACAACAAAAAATACTTACTGGATTAACAAAGAGGACTGACCCTTGCTGTCGTCCTCCTTCCTCAAACTGGAGGGTAGGAAAAGACAACCTTCTAACTTTTTATTTCTAAATAAATGTAGACTTTTCTTTGCAAGAGTTCCAAAGTCAGCACAGAGAGTTTCCCATATACCTGTCACCCAGTTTCTACTGACCGTAACACCTTATAGCAGGGGTCCCCAGCCCCTGGGCCGCACAGCACGAGGTGAGCGGCGGGCCACCGAGCAAAGCTTCATCTGCCGCTCCCCGTCGCTCACACTACCACCTGAGCCATCCCTCCCCACTACCGGCCGTGGAAAAATCGTCTTCCGCGAAACCGGTCCCTAGTGCCAAAAAGGTTGGGGACCACTGCCTTATAGAACCACAGGACAGTCATCAAACTAAGACGTTAACACTGGCTCAACACCACCAACTAGGTGACAGGATGTATTTGCACATCCCGGCTTTCCCACCACTGTCCTTTCTCTGTTCCAGGAAGTAAGTCCGGATCCCCCACTGGCTCCTTCCTTGGTCTCCTCCAAGCAGTGATGGGTTCTCACCTCCCCCCCGTCTTTCTCACCTTGACACCTCAAGGAGCGCTGCTCAGGCATTCTGCAGAAGGTCCCTCAACGTGGGCTTGTCTGGTGCCTCCGCACGACTAAACTGAGGGTGCGGGTTCGGAGGCAAGAGGCTGCTGAGGGGAGGTGCCTTCTCTGCGTGCGGAATCCGAGGCGCGTGACACCACACGGCTGACCACAGGCGCCCTGAGCTCGGCTGAGGTGCGTCTGCCGGGATTCTGCCCTGCAGACTCGCTGTTTTCCCTTGCCCGCACGCTATCAGCTAGAAGCCCCTCATCAGGTCGGCCCCACGCTCCAGGGGAGGGGATTAAGCGGCTGCTCCTCCGTGGAAGCAGATCGAAGCTTCGGGGACACTTTCTGCAACTACCAGAGCGATTCACAGTTCCTGGGGGAGATATCTGCAGCTATGCACACATCCTGTTTCTCCTGCAAGTTCCACCTGGTGCTGCTGCAGTGTCAGCACCTCTAGGTCCTCTTACGGATGGAGCCAGGAAACGTACGTATATGCACCCTAACCCCGCTGTGCGCACACGCAAATTTAGTTTCGTCTCCCTCTGTACATCCTAAACAAACGTGAGTTTACAAAGATATCTCTGACTCCAGTTCAGCATCACAGGGCTCATCATGGCAGTGAGCAGACAGCCTTCAGGCACACAATGGAAACAAGAAGAGGCTTCTACAGTATGACACAAATTCAGAGGAAATCCTTGGGCATAGAGAGCAGGGGAGTTAGGTGGACAGAGGACCCACGCCCAGAAATGACGGCAGGACACGTTTCCCGCCCAGGACAGGAGGCCCCGGGGACAACGGGCACCTCGGACAGGTGGCGACTTGGCTTCAACAAGAGGCGCCTCTCCTCTCGCCTGACCGGCTTGTGCCGACAATGAGATGCTTGGCTGAGCAGAAGCAGCGAGGGTGTGTGCTGGGGTCACAAGCAGGGAAGTGTCCAGAGTGGCCATAGTAAGAGGGACACAGACCAGTGAGACCAGTGAGCGGCTTGTACCTCCAGGGTAAGTAAGAGGGACACAGACCAGTGAGACCAGTGAGCGGCTTGCACCTCCAGGGAACAAACTGTGACACCCCCCAGCCATCAGGGGGTCACCTGCTCTACAGAAGGAGATCCACAGACTAAGAGGAAACCCAAACAGAGGATGCTCGAGTGACCAAGAAACCCTGAAGGCCACAGTCATGCCAGACTCAGCAGACTCCACAGTGGAGGCAAAAGCCTAAGGGAACAATCAAAACAGAACCCGAGTAAGACTCTAGGGTTAAGACAGCTAGACCAGGGGTGGCAGAGTCTGGTGCCTTCGCACAGGGAGAGACGGTCTGGGGTTCTAGAAAGCACAGACTCGGTCTCTGAATGGAAAGTAAAACACGGAGACAAGCAGGACTCCTCACAATGACCCCAGGAGCACAGAGCGTGAGAGCAAGATTAAGAGGAAACGAGTGAAATGAAAAATCAAGCACAGGTGTTTTCCCAGAATGAAGCACAACCAGACAGAGATGGAAAGAAGGCAGATCCAGAAGCTGCACATGGATACGTTAAAGTTGGAGAGAGGGTGGGAATGTGAATGCATATCAGAATATAAGAAATCACAAAAAATAGGATTTTCATAGAGCTGAAGACAGACATACGTCTTTAGATTGAAAAATCTAACATGTATATAAGGTAAGGAAAAACGTTTGGTCCATGCCAGAAATACCGCGGTGAAATTTCAGAACATGGGTGATAAAAAAAACTGCAAAAGAAGTTCAGATAGGGGGACTTCCCTGGCCGTCCAGTGGTTAGGACTCTGCATGTGCACTGCAGGGGGCACGGGTTTGATACCTGGTTGGGGAACTAAGATCCCGCAAGCCGCACGACACGCAGACCCCTGCCAAAAAAAAGTTCAGATAGGAAGATAAAATCAACAGACTACCTACAAGAAATGAAACTCAAAGAGACACAAGGCCACCATTAGCAACACTGGGTACAGAGGACACTGCAAGCCTGTCTCAGTCGAGGGAACATACCTGTGAACACTGCCTCGCTATCCGGCCAGGATGGGGTCAGCTGTGAGGATAAAGGACCCGTCACACTTGGGAGTCCAGACAGTTCACCTGCCAAGACCCTCCCCTGAAGCAGGTCCTGGACGACACATGCCAAGCAAACAAAACATACATTTAAAAGGAAGCTGCTGGGGAGTGACATCAGCCAGAGGGCGGACAGGGAAGCCCAGCCCACGCTCCTTGGAGGAAACACAGGATGAACCACAAAGACTGAGCACAGCAGCTCCGTAGGAGGGTTAGAAGCCAGGCCAGGCCCTG